AAACACACTTGCCCGAAAAAGTGCGGGGGACGAATTTACATGATATTAAAAGTGGGGGGGACACGTCCCCCGCGTAATCTACGCCCGTTTGAGAGTATTTACTAAATGAAATTAACTTTATAAAATGACATGATTAAAATGACATTTAACATACGTTTGATAAAGTCACGTGGAAAACAGGCCTGTTCTTTTCATTTTTGTAATAAATGGATTTTCAAATGGATAAGAAAACACTCTACACAAAACTCTGTTAAAACATTTTAATAGTCATACAATTTATGTAAAAGAAACTTGAGCTGACAAAGAACCTTTAACATTGGAATGAAGAAACCATAATCTAGATTGTCACACATTTCAAAGCTTTTTTTCTGATATAATACTGTTTGACTCATTCCTCTGCATCCTCCCACTCACAATCCATCTAATTTCTGAAAAGAAAATCAACCATGTGCTGCTGTTATAAGACAGTTGTGTGCAATATTTGCTCTGGTGATGATAATGTCCATGAGCTGATATGTACAAAGACTGTTTTCTATTGTAAATCACACACTCGTAGGCACAAACATCAGGACTTGGTAAAAACAAACAAAAAAACATTGGCTTAAGATTGGCAGGTGTGACCCAGACTTATCTTCACATCTTCAGACTTTCATTACACTCCTACATACTACATACAAACATATACTGATATAATCTAACCAACTCTGAAAATGCAGAACAAGGCACTGGACACAGTGGAGAAACTGGCACATTGTGGACAAAGGCAAACAGACAAACATTTCCATTTTGAATTTGTTTTAGAAAGTTTCTGACAGGCAAGATATTAAAACACCATCTTCGCTAAAAGCTCTTTATCTTTTGAATATGTATTTTTGAATTAGAAATCGGTTTTAAAAAAGGATCGATATTCAACCAGTGCAAATTATTAAAAGAATTTCAGAAAGAAAGAAAAAAAGAAGACAGGGAATGTTATTATAGTCCTAGATTCATTTTTTAAATTAACAGTTCACCCCAAACTCACAATTCTGTCATTATTTACTTCCTCTCATGTTACTTCCAACCCCTATGCTGTTTTTCTGTTCATGGGACACAAAAGGAGAAGTCTTTTGAAGCAATACATTAGTTTTGTGTGAGGAACAGACTAAAATGTATGTCATTATTCACTGAATAGTCACTGGATCAGTCCAATTAGTGAACAGATCGTTCACTTGAACTGGTTCTTTCTGATGATTTGGTTGTTTTGTTCACGATTCAATTCTAGAGTTCAGTTCACTTACACAATGATCCAGAAACAACAGCTCACTGAAGGAAAAGATTATTAGTAGATTTAAAGCTTTAATTTTGGCCTCTTTCTCATACAAAGCTTTTTGTATGATTTCAGAAGACTTGGAATAGAGTATGTAGCTCTTCTGGAGGTATTTCTTTGTCATTTTTGGAGCTTGACAGACATTGTCACTATGAACTGTTGGTGTATGGAAAGAGCCACATTAAGATAATTTTACTTTTGTGTTCCACAAAAACAAGGACATGAGTAAACAATGGCAGGATTATAATTTAGGTGTGAACTATTCCTTTAAGCACCCATTTACTCCTATACATAAGTGCATACAATTGTAGTACCATTGTTATCTAAATGTTAATAAATATCGGTGCAGGCTTGAGAACATCCTGGTTCACGTAACACGCCATGCCTTGTCACTAGAATCTAAAATTCACCTGAATAGAAGTATTATTTAAACACTGTCTCTATGTCTGAGAAGGAACCAAGTGACAAAGTGTCACTCTCCAAAAGTGTCAGATGTAAGTTTAGACCATCAAGGCCTAGAAATCTACTTATATCTATGGAATAAAAATGCTCTTTTCACAATACAAATGTCAAGAGCCTTCTATTCACAACGTGTCAAATACAATGTGTGAAGTACAACTGGTGTACGATCTGGAAATGTAGAACTTGCATTGGATTTTCATCACATTACACTGGGTTTCATGTACTTTCAATTTAACTTGTCTTAAGGCTGAAATACACTACACAACTTGACAAATCTGAACAGATTTTTTAAATGCTAGGCATCATACTATTGTAAATGGTTACAGTGAAAAACTGGGCATCATACACTAAATGACTGAGGATCACACACTACCAGACGTTCAAGTTGTTCAGAACACAACAAACTCACACAGAAATGTTTGACTTGTTGCTAGAAGATGCATGACAAACGAAAACAATATGTAAAATCTGTCAACACAAATCTGCAGTACGGCTCTGACTTTTGGCAACTGCACTGACTCATCAGGGCACAAATCTGGGAAAAAGTTGCGTAGTGTATTCCAGTGTTTACTCACAAATAAATACTAAGTGAGGTTGTTAACAGTGACGCCAATTCCTCTGTAGGTCCAAAAATGTGATTTTTCGTTTCCTGATCGCACAGTGACAACATGGGTGAAATGAGGGTGACTTCCACATGGTTTGTGCTTTCAAAAGTCCACAGATTAAGATACACCATGCCGCACTTTACATTATCATCCTTCAAGTGTGAGAAGTCAGTCAACATTTAGCAATCTATCATCAATCAACCTGTGTTAAAGTGATCAAAATGGCTTTCGAAAACATCTCCTGTGCAAACAAGTGTGGCAGAACAAAAGTGTACCATGTGTGCTATATGTTATAATCTCTTGTTATAGAGGCTGTGCTCCATAATCAAAAATCTGTACAACTTCTGCAAGGTTCAGATCTGTGCTTTAAAAACTATGACCGGTGCCTCTAGAACAGAGGTGCCCAAACTCGGTCCTGGAGGGCCGGTGTCCTGCAGAGTTTAGCTCCAACTTGCCTTAACACACCTGCTGGGAAGTTTCTAGTATGCGTAGTAAGAGCTTGATTAGCTGGTTCAGGTGTGTCTAATTGGGGTTGGAGCTAAACTCTGCAGGACACCGGCCCTCCAGGACCGAGTTTGGGCACCCCTGCTCTAGAAGGAGCCGGGGTCAAAATGTCTCTGAGTCCGAGTCGTTTTCAGTGGTCGTGCCCTCGCGGGAGGGGTCCCTTGGACTGCGGGGGCCTTGGGGGCTCTTGGCCTGGCGGGGCAGAGATTTCAGCAGGGCACCTGGCGAAGGAGCTCCAGAGCTGCAAGGGGAGCAGAAAGGCATCATGGTAGCCAGAATGAGAGCCAGGCAGTCAGCCACTTCCCTGCTGGGAGCACAAGCCAGAGCAGGGGTGAGACCTGCGGGGAAAGACAGCCAAAGAGCGAGAGAGACAGGAAAGGGGACAGGAAAGCAGAAAGAGGTGAAAGGAGGGATGGAGCAGTGGAACAAAAGGACAGTGGTGGGGAGGTGATGGACGAAAGCACCATTCCATTAGTGCCTCGCTAGATAGGCAGCCAAACACATGGTCAGTCAGGGGGCAAAAGGGGACATGCATGCCACTGTCAAAGCTTTGAAACACAGCTACTGCTTTGGCAAAAGCCTCTATGTCACTAACAAAAGAAGAAGAATACAGAGACACACATAGAGAGATCCACATACACTGACAATCTAAATCTGCAGGGATTTTAGTTTCAGGAAGACGCACCATTCTCATCGAGTACTTGAACGCTGGCCCCACGAGAGAGCAGCTCTTGCACTGTCTGCTTCATCCCACTGCGAGCAGCCAAATGGAGAGGTCTGGGGAAGTGAACGAGAAACAAGTGAGCATCAGTTGCTTCTTCAGTCATTTATAAGAGCATGGCACAAGCAACATCATGGGTTCGAATCCCAGGGAATGCATGAAGTAATAAAATGTATTCCTTAAATGCAATGCAAGGCAAGTTGCTTTGGATAAAAGCATCTGTCAAATGCATAAATGTAAATATAATATGCAATCTACTGTAATGTGAAGGGGAACTCACGTTTGCAGTGCAGCGTTGGTAGCAACGAGGGCAGAGTCTGGAAGTTTTCCGAGAATGAGCAATGCGCATTCCTCCATTCCCTGGACAGAGAGCAAGCAGAAAAAAAAAACAAGAAAATCATCTTTAGAAGACCTCAGTTAATAGATTAATAAAAACATTCAAAAATACTGTTTGCAATGTGGGTTTTTATATCTGGCACAATTTTATTGTTTGATAATTATATGAAATATTAAAACCCTATGATTACAGTCACACATAGGTGTCTGCATTACTTAAGTGGAAATTAAAAAATTTTTATGTTTTTGAAAAGGCCAAATTATTATAATATGCATCAATAAAATATGATTTTGGGGTGAGTATATATAACGAAAACCTTTGTTTCAGTGAACTATATAGTTTATCATTTCTTTGTAAAACAAAACTAATAGTAAAGGGTGCAATTTTGTCAGTGGCATTTTGACAAAATGACAAATTTTGATTATGACAAATTCTAAAAATGATTATGAAAGATCACTGCACTACTGATGAAACTATGAAAAAGTAGAGACTGATGACCACGGCATGCAATGGGCTATACTTACATTACTGCAGGCTAGATGGAGTGCTGTATTGCCCTTCTGGTCAGTCAGATTGAGGTTCACGTTGGCAACAGTAAGTAAAGCTTCTGTTTAAAACACGCCACACTTTGTATAAGTGCATTCTTTTGAGTCCATTTTCAAATGAACAGAGGCATAATGCAAATAAAAGGCATGAACATTTTTTGAATACATACCTACAACCTCGACCCTTCCTTTCTCCGCTGCCATAATCAGGGCACTGCGCCCTGATTGGTCAACCTCATCCACAGATGCATTATGGGCCAAGAGCAGCTGAATACAGTCTACGTGGCCAGCGAATGCAGCTGCATGGAGAGGTGTCCTGATAAACAGAGACAGCAGTTTTTAATAGATTTTTTCACTGATAGCTATGAAAGCAATGCTAATGATGAACATAAAAAAAAAAGATTAGGCACATTTCAATTGCCATTTAAAAATTTATACTGGTCTATTTCTCAGGACTATCTTAACTTTTCCTAGCCGGATTAGTAATGACATTTAACTGTGTGTATGAAGATGTATGAAGTCGGCTCTCAAGTTCTCAAACGTGTATATAAATATAGATTTTATTTGAAAAATAATTTTGGAACCACTGTAGGTACAAATCTATTTTATTCTAATCTGTTTTGTCTTTCTTGACATATTCCAAACTAACCTGCCCTTGGAGTCTTTGCAAGTTACAATCTTTGATCCCATGGCTTCTAATAAAAGGTTGGCACAGGTCTCATGGTCATTGACCCTGCAGGACAGAGGATTCAAAGTTGAAACAGAGAAAAAAAAAGTGCAAAAGAAGACAGGGATGAAGAAAACGATCTCACAGCAGACATACACAGCACAGTGCAGCGGGGTGAAGGGGTTCCCATCAAAGTGACGAAAATCTCTTTGTTCGAGTAGGACCTCCACACAACCCTCATGACCTAGAACACATACACACACAATGCTAGTCCACTATACTTCACAAAAGCTACATTCCGTTTACTGATAAATAAAAGATTCTTTTTAAACTCATAATGGAGACTGTTAAAACCAACCATAGTAACAGGCCCAGTGTAAGGGTGTGTATCCCTGGTTGTCTCGGAATGGGGGTATCGGGGGTTCAGAACACACAATATTGAGCAATTCGCTCAACCAGGATGCGTGACCCCTCGCCGCAGCCAGGTGGATAGCTGTCCGACCCTTGGAGTCCCCCAGCAGCACGGATGCCTCCAGCTCCAACAGGGACTGAACACATTCCTCCTGTCCACACAAGAGCTGAGAGAGAGAGAAAGAGAGAGAGTTTTAAAAAAAATGTCCTTGTACATCTTGCACTTGAATATGTTTGGCAAGATCAGGAAACTCACCCCCAGGTGCAGAGCAGTCAGACCTTGATGATCAGCTAAGTCCACACTGGCTTCACGTTCCAATAGAAGAGACACAGCATCCACATGACCCCCCATTACTGCCAGCATTAGAGGGGTCCTGCAGACACAAACACACATAGAACGAATACCCATTAACCCGTTAATCACGTGCAAGAATCTGCTCAATTGTGTATAGATAGAATTTCAATCAGCCGTTATTAAATCAATCAATAAGCTTCCCACATGTCCATGGGTACATTTTTCTCATAGCTTGGGCAAAATTAATATTAAATAAATTAGGGAGTTGATTCATTTTATTATTAGTATTCGTATGAAGTGTGTTTATGTTTGATTTTGGCACACTAATTGAGATCCTCAATATTTATTTATTGTAGAAAAATAGTTATATGCATTTTTAAATTCATTAGTTGCCTAGTAATTAAAAAACAATTAACTAAATGTAGTCAGCAACTTTTTATGGGTAACAATTGGGTAACTTCATTTTTTTTTTTTTTTTTTGGAAGTTTTGTTTGACTGTATTTAATTATTTCAGCTTGCCAAGCTACAATACCCGTAAGTTGAGAAGTAATAATACATGACACACTCATTCCACTCCAAAATCTTTGTGGCATTATAATGAAAGATTTTTAGAGTTATTAAATGAACTACTCACTGTCCCTGAGAGTCCGCTGTATCTACCAGATCTGCATTATCAGAGTCTTCCAGCAGGAGGCGCACACATGATGTATGACCATTCATTACTGGATGCAAACAAGAGTGTATTAAATACTGCATAAAAATGTACAACTGTGTAATTTCCACCACACACAGATGTAATACCTGCAAGATGGATAGGTGTACGTCCTCTGAGAGTATCTTTGCTTCTCGGCGAGGCCCCATGGTTCAGAAGTGTGAGAGCACAGTCAGTGTGGCCCCTGAGGGCAGCAAGAGCTAATGGAGTGCGGCCCACCTCATCCCCCTGATCCACCTCGCAGTGACCCTCCAAGAGCACCTCTAGAGCCTGTGCTTGACCGTGGTATGCCTGGAAACAAACATATACCTATATAAAGGTGTAAGACCAACTGTCTGAAAATGTCTTTCACATATTTCAGTGAGGTTAGGGCCTGTCTGTAGTAATTAAACCTTGTAGTATTAAAAACATGCAAGCTGTGTTTTCTTATGCAAAAGTTGGCTTCAGGATGCTAAGGTGTTCTCAGTGGTAGCCAGGGTATTGATATAGTGTTATGATTTGTTTTTAGCATGTTGTTATGTGGCTGTTAGGATGTGGTTGTAAAGGTGTAAATTTGGACTCACGGCCAGATGCAATGGGCTTCTGGTTTGGCTGTTCTCCATCTCATCTTGTTGGTTCTCATCTCTGTCCAAAAGCTGAAATCAGATTTAATCTGAATTACAGCTGTTCTCATTAAACACAAAAAAAAAAAAAAAGAAGCTATTCTGAATTAAGCTGGAACAAATTCATTCTTGCACGATAAACATATGCAGTGCACCAGCAGGTGACATACAATAGGTTCAACAGACAGCCAGCACATCATTTTACGATATGACTGGACTACCACAAACTGGACTAAATTCATTTGCATGTTAAATTACACATTTAAATCTACAGTAGAGACAGTAGAGTACAGATGGAGGAAGTGCCTTGAGGCACTCACTGGACATTTTTGTGTCCTCACCAGTTTCAGACAGTGTCTGTGGCCATACGCTGCAGCATAATGAATGGCACTGTAGCCTTGTTTATCTTTGAGTGATGGGGCGGCACCATGCTGCAACAGGAACTCGAGACACCTGCACACACAAATATAAATATATATTCAAATACACACACACACACACACACACACACAATAAAAAATTTAACTATAAAAAGTACAAAAAAGATCATGTAAAATTATGTATGTACACTACTGTAGAAGTGGAGAGAGGGAAAATACATTTAGTTTGTCCCAGACATGAAATGATGAGGTTACAGACGCACACAAACACAAAGCACCCAATGTTTTGGCATCAGAGCAGCACACATGTAAACAGCACGAGTGACGGTGAGACAAGGAGGGGGGACACAGAATTGAGGCTGAGCAGACGTGGGCCGTTCTGCTCTTCAACTCCAGAGAACTCACAGAGCTGCCTCCTTCTCCCTCTCAGCTTGAACTCCGTCACTCTCTGGTTCCAGGACCACACGCCGCCTGCAGAAAAATCACACACACCTCACAAATCTTATACACAGATGCTTCTTACTCAACAATAACTCTTAACACATTTTTTTTAAGTTGTAAACAAAATTGTATTACCATTAAATTCATATTTTGGAATTAATATTTGTTTTATTATTAACTATTCATATTTTGTAATTAATAATAATACATGAGAGTAAATATTTATATAATTCAAAATGTAAAAATAATTTTATATGTTACATGCAATAAGTCTGTGGTATCGTGGTATAAATTAAATTAATTATGGTTACCGTCTCATTACTCATTCACAAAATTCTTTGTGCCGGTTAATTCTGGCAACTAATCTAATTAAACTAAGCAAAAAGGTGTTTCCGTATGCCATATCAAGTCGACGTCAAACACTTTTGTCTTTGCACATTAACTACCCCAATGATAGGAGACTTAAAAATAGCCTGTGGTTGCCATGGTAACACAGATATTTGCGTTAGTGTAGCTGCTAGCAGTCTCTGGAGATGGGGACTGACACCGCACTCGATTTCACCTGCTGTAGGACTACATCTGCCTGTGTCTAAATCACTTAATCGGGTTAGACATGCATTTACAATGGTCAATTACATGTTGTTCACAACTAGCTCCATTTCTGCACTGTAAACTATTCATGTGGGGATATTTTGACCACCAGTCAAGGCGTTTTTCACTCCACCATCCCACCGCTAAAACTACGATTAGGTTGAAGGATGGTTTAGACTTTTGAGCTGCAGATTTTTCCAATGAAACCCCTCGTAATATCTTGCTGCAATATAAGTCTATTAGTGTAAATGATGAGATGTTTATTTTTGCAAACTGAAGGACAAATCCACTTTTTAATTGAATCTTTAAACTTTATAAAGAATGGAGGAGAAAATCACAGATGTTGCCGTTTGTGTAAATGTTGTGTACCTCCTGTCCAGGTCAGAAGCAGCAGCGTAGTGCACAGCAGAGCGCCCCCACTGGTCAGTGGCATTAATGCAGGTTCCGCAGGACACCAAAGTCTCCAGGCACTGAAAGTGTTGACTAGCTGCCGCATAGTGGAGAGGGGTCCTGTCAACACCCACAACAAAAGAGAGGGGGGGGGGGAAGTATTTGACAAAAAATTAAGAAAGTTTCAGTTTCAGAGTACAAACAAATTCTACAAACAAAACAGCTGAGAAAATGTAAAATACAAAATCTGAAAATGCAAAGAAATCTGAATATATGTGGTTGAAATTTTACTATTCGCCAAAAGGATGACAAAGTTTTCCATTAAGCTAGCATTTTAAAAAGCTTAACAATTAAAATATTATTTGACTTAATGCTTAACAAATCTTTAAAAAACATGGTAACATGTTGATAAAATTGGAAAGAAAATTTGTGATTTTAGAAAAATTTACTCACTGTTCCTGAATGCACTGAATAGCACAGATATATTTAGTACTGAATGTTTATTAGCACAACTCCAGCTGAGGAGAGCATAGACATGCAAAATGAATAAAAAAGTATCCTGATGTAAATGTCTTGCTTTTACCAAGAACTCACCTTCCATGTTTGTCCCTGCGGTTATGATCGGCTCCACTGCTGAGCAATAGCTTCACACATTCCACATTACTGACAGAGAGAGAGATAAAAAAATAAAATAAATAACCTTGCCATGAGCACGAGTATGAGGACAGATAACAGGTCCAACAATACCTGTATTTGTCTAAACAATGGACGATAAGGTAGTCATTCGTTTTTGTATTGTATTCATACATAATTGGGTATTGTATTTGGGTATATATAACTTCATGACTTCTACATTTTGTATCACAATCCACATGATACAACTGCAGTTGTAAAAAGTCCCATGTATCGAAACCCTTTGGTCATTTTTGAGCGAGATGCTAACGGTCTAATTAGATTCAATGATCTATGCTAAGCTACAGCTAAAAGTGCTACCGCCAGACCCGGTTCAAAAATAGTGGAGTGTTCCTTTAACTGAAGCTTATATAAATATATATATTCGCAACATGAAAATTAGATACCGGCATATCCCTAATATATATATATATATATATATATATAAAGTAAGCTTAGCCAACACCAGCACAACTCTATCTGATCAGACACATATTTTTTTTCCACAGTCCAACAGGCAAAATCCAGATCTGCAAGACAGACAGACAGACTCACCCGCCCGCAGCTGCGACGTGCAGACATGTCCTTCCCAGGTTGTCTGGTGTATCGATTTGGAAGCCTGCAGACAGGACCGAGTGATTACTGAGAGGGAACATTATGCTATACCTCCGTCCTGTAGAGGAATGGAAGTATGGGGAGGAAGGATGCCGTGCATGGAGGAGAAAAGTGTCCCCACACCCAGACGCAGACAGCCACAGTGTCAGATCGCAGGAGGGGAAAGAATGACACGGGGGGGAAAAGGAGTCCAAAAAAGAGACAGTGTGAAAGAAAGAGAGACAGAGAGAAAGGATGTTAGTTCAGGAAAAACAAAGACAGTGCACTGAGGATAGACAAGACAAACACACATCACTCACAGAGGTGAGAACACAAATGTGTGCAACCAAGCAGAACAATTAAAAAGTACAGATATAGCATCTACAATCTAAAACAACAAACCAACAATCAAGAGTCAGAGTTAAGAATGCACACAGATATAATGACATGCCAGACCTAAGCAAAGAGAAAAAAAATTCATGCCCATCAATTCAGAGACAAAAGATCTTTAACTCAAAGTCAACATAATAAACCTAATTACAAAAGGTTGCGAAGCATTCCTTTAACATAAATTGCTATTTATGAAATAGTCATTTATGAAGAGGAAGAGTCACATCAACTTGAGAGGTATCTCATGGTTCAATACTTCGTCCCTTCCTCATCTCAAAATAGACAACACTTTTTGTATTTAGCCAAAAACGGTTTCCACCAGGTTTTCAATGTTATATAAAGGTAGTGCAACTGTAGCTTGATTTGGTGGTGTAGTCGGTACCTGAGGAGAGAAGCTTCCGGCAGCAGTCAGCATGAGCATTCAGAGCGGCCAGATGCAAAGGAAACATGCCATGTACCCCTCTTCTGCAGAGAAGGAAAGAGCATATCAGAAACAACAAGTAATGATGTTTTACCAAGATTTTTTTATAAAGATCCAAAGACAGAGTCAAACCTGGTGCAGTCAGCTCCACTCGTGATTAGAGTGTTTATTAAAAGTTCATGGCCGTATCGAGCAGCAACATGCAGTGGAGTGTTTCCATCCTTATCGACACAGTCAATCTCTCCACCTGTATCAGAAACACACACTTGTACTCTCAATGTACATGATGCAAATCAGTCACGGGGGAAAAGTAAGCTTTTAGCAGGCTACCGTTTTGGATGAGTGTCTGAGAGCGTGTGAATCGTCCATGAACTGCTGTCAGATGAAGAGGGCTTTTCCCATCACGACTCTGAGGAAACATCAGGAAATGTTTACTAGCGCACAGCACACAGGATTTGGACTGTCTGTCCATATTTGGTCCTAGATAGACATACCTGGACGTTGACATCAGCTCCGCTGTTGACCAGGAATTCCAGACACAGGGCACCATGAGTGGACGCAGCAGCAAAGTGGAGTGGTGTGAAGCCCTTGTTATTCGGCTGACTGACATTAGCACCGTAGTCGATCAGCTCACTGACCACTGCATCTTGTCCATTAAAACAGGCCACATGCAGCGCTGTGTTCCCAAAGGCATTGGCTTCATCTATCTATAAGTAAAGCATGCAATATAATAGTCAGCTCAAACTAGATGTTTTTCCCATGTCCCCATGCATCCTTCCCTATATGTATCTATTTGCATCCTGGGTACCTCCACGGCCAGGCTGAGCAGGTGTTTCACCACAGCGATCTGACCGCTGGAAGCAGCTGCGTGTAGAGGCATGTATCCCCTCTTGTCCTTGCAGCTGATCTCGGCCCCTTGACTCACTAGTAAACACACTACATCTAAGTGACCTGCAGGAGTATAGAGAGAAGCTCATGAACACATCAATACAGATATAGCAGATTAAATGAATAATTCACCTAAAAATGTTTAGAAATTCTGTTATTAGTTACTTTCCCTCATTTCGTTTCCAACCCATGTGACTCACTTCTGTAGAACACAATAGGAGATGTTTTCCAGAATATTGACTCTTGTCCATAAAACAAAATTAGAAAGTGTCCATTGTCTGTCAAGCTCCAAACAGAACAAAAGAACACCATAAAAGCTCCATAAAACTATTCCATATGACTTAACATAAGTCTCAGCATAGGTTTTCTGAAGCCATTTAATGGTTTTGAGTGAGGAAAAAAAACAATATGAATGTTTGTAAGTGCAAATGTCTTTAGAAGACTTAGAATATTGCACATAATTAGTATGTACAGGAATACAACACTGCCAAATAATGGTATGTAATTATTTTTGTAAAAATTGTGATTTTGTTAATATGATAATTAAAAATATATATATATTTTGTTGAGTGTATTTTTTGCTAGTTTAGTTCACAGAAGTGATGGAAATTGTAAAGGGGTGATATTTGCCCCCCAAATTGATATCCAGGAGAATTTTTACCTTTATAGTGGCAGTTTTTTTTCAAACCTTATTAAATGCATGCATCATCTTTCATGTAAAATTCTTACATTTAATCAATAAATTCAATTAGAATAATAAGATACTATGGGCTGTTACCAATCAAATGAAACCAGTATTAACAAAATCCAGTTTTGAACTACATATATGACTACAAGCTGCTTCTGAAGTAGCATTTAAATATCAGTGAATCATTCATTAAAAATTTTTTTTCAAAACGGCTGATTCATTCAGAAACTAAGCATATGACTGTCTTTATGAATGGGTTATGCACTCAAACGATTCAGTAACAAAACGCTAAATATCTCTCTCAGTCTCAGGGTGTGCTTTTGCAAAGTGAGTGCCATACTTGATAATGTCAGCTTGAACATCATTACAACAATTACGGTAGACTATACATATCGTACACCCCTATTAGTATTGGACAACTGGAGTGGTGATGTATGTCCTTTTTTTGAGCTTGCCAGTCCCCAGTAACTAATTTTTTGCATTGAAATGGAAGGCAGCAGTGTGAACAACTCCTTTTGCGTTCCACTGTAAAAGACAGAGCATACACGTCACAGTTAAAGTTTCATTTCCTCACCCATATATGCTGCCCAGTGCAGAGCACGGCAGTCTTTCTTGTCAAAGGCATTGATGTTGGCACCCTTGGCCAGGAGAAGGCTAACCATCTGAAAAGAGAAAGAGGAAATTAAATAACAGTGATAAGAAAGAGATGGAGAAATGGAGGAGAAAATGCACGTGTCAGTCTCAATAGGCAGTAAAGCATGAGTCATTAATGCGTCAGTAATTATGTGCTGCATGTTTGTGTCACAGTTTATATAATGACTTTCTAAACAATTCTGCATTGCTGAGAGCACAAGAACATTCTAGTTATGTTGACAATGCTATGCAAGAAAATTAAGTCTGTTTCAACGGGCATGTGAGTTTGTATCTAAAAGCCGTCACTGTCTCAGTCTTTGTACGTGCAACACTTATTGCACTAGACTGCAGTGAAATAAAGCATGATCGGAGCCCTGCACATGACATGCGGGCAAAAATATATTTATTGTGGCCACAACTTAATAATTTGCTCCAACGAATTAAGAAGCTCATTTTAGTTCAACTGTGGCCACGATTTACTACTCATCCCCCGTTTTATTTAAATAATGAATGCAAATGAAGAATTTGTTCCCACAAATAATTAATTCGTTCAAAACGAGGGAATGAATTGGTACATCGTGGCCAGGATTTACTCAAATGGAGGAGCAAATTAGTAAAACATGGCAACAATTTATTGAAACGAGAAAATGAATTTTTAATTTGTGGATACAAAATATATATATATATATATATATATATATACACACTTTTTCCCGCATGTCATGTTTGGGGCTCCATAGTATTGCTATGAACTAAGCAAAAATTTTTGGTTTCAACTTGCAGTACCTCCGTGTGCCCATTAAGGGCGGCGTGATGCAGGGCGGTGCGTCCCCCGCGATCTGAAACGTTGACGCTGCTCAGGAGCGGGATGATCACCTCAGCACAGCGCAGGGCCTTGTTGGCGGCAGCAACATGCAGCGGAGTCTGCCAGTTCTTATCCCGTGCATTAACATCAGCAGAATGCCGGATCAATACACGAACCGCCTCCTAGATGTGTGCAAAACATAACAACAACTATGACACTATATCGTGTACTTCAGGCCAGCTGCAATACAATTGACCAGTCAGCATCCAGTATTGGAAAAATCCTATTATAATCACACAGGAGCTGCTGCATATGATTAGCATTGTTATAAAGGCATCCTGCTGCGTGACAACATTACACAACATTCTAACATGAGTGTGTGTTTAACAACTAAGCCCACCTCGCTACGTGATGCCACTGCCCTGTGGAGTGGAGTCAACCACATGCTGTCTTTGGCATTGACCCGTGCCCCTAAAATAAAGAAGTACAAGAAACATCAAACAATAAAAACCTCAACAAACTAAGGGCTCTATATGCTGTATTTGTAAAGGGGTAGTTCATTCAAAAATGACAATTCTGTCATCATTTACTCCAAACCATCCTTTATGTTACACGACAAAGAAAACACAGGGGTTTGGAATGAAATGTAATAAACGATGACAGAATATTTACAGTAACTGTACTATACTGTTTACTAAACTATACCTTTAAAAGACTTTAACGTCATTTATTTTATATGAGATGCTGTAAATGTACGATGGAAGGGAGGTGGGAAAGGAATGGAGGGAGAGAGAAAAAGAGCAGCTGTACCTGACACAATGAGGAGCTCTATGATCTCAGCATCTCCGAGGAAGGCTGCTGCATGAAGGGGAGCTCGCTTCTCAGCGTCCTGAGAGAGAATGAAAAAAGACAGCTGGAGAGTCAGACACATGGACAGAGAAAATGGAAAGATTCTGTTAAAAATCAAATCAAAATCAAGTCTTCTACTCCATGTCTATTAGCTTTAAACCCATCTATATGCTAGTGCACTCTTAAAAGTCGACAAGCAGAGTTGATACACATTCGGAATGTAATTTATTCCTGTGATGGCAAAGCTGTATTTTTAGAAGCCATTACTCTTCAGTGTCTTCAGGGTTACATAATCCTTCAAAAATCATTCTAATATGCTGATTTGGTGCTCAAGAAACATTTCTTTTCATATGCAATGGCATGATACATTATTTTCAAAGAATACTTTGATGAAAGCTTAAAAGACTGATGATGAAGTTTAAAAGAATAGCATTTATTTGAAATAGAAATCTTTTAACATTATAAGTGTCTGTACTGTAACTTTTGATCAATTTAATGCATCCTTGATCAATAAAAGGATTCATTTTACTCAAAAAAATTCTTACAGACGCTTAACTTTTCAATAGTAGCGTATCTTGGACTTCGAGATGTATAAAAGTTTTTAACCAAAAAAGGACAGCATATTCCTTTAATACCATCTACAACAACCTAACAAGAGCAACTGACAAATCATATTTTGCCAGCTGTGGCATAAACAAAAGGCTAATGGCTAATTAAAAAAAGAAAATGGATGAGCCCTTCGATATGTCTTACCCCAACTTCCTGTTTTCAATAGGAAATAGGCTACATCAACACTAGAAAGACAATTGTGTCTGTCAAACCATTTAATGTGGTCTTTACAGTACATTCCATTATTTTCAAACTCCAAAACCTTCAAAAAAAAAATTTTGAAAAAAAAAAAATTTTTTTGCAGAGAATTGGTCATAGACATGGTCACTTCTGAATGCAATATGATGATTGCCTATCATTGCAAGCAATCCACAACAAAGGAGCATTGACTGGCTCTTTACAATCACTGATGGAGATGTCAGTGTGTACTAATATGCTCACAAACTTGCGGTGGTGACATCTCAACGTGTCCATAGTCTGAACCTGTTTGCACATGCAGCCTGAAATCTTGGCTTTGACCAGTGGCTCTTTATAAAACATTTGGACAGCGAGCTAATTCTTGCTGGAGCCATTAGGGCGGACACAGAGAGACAAGTAGAATAAATAAATATTCTGGAAGAAGAATGGCCCTGTTTTGTGTCCTGTTGCCTTTACTGAGACAAATGTATATAAATCTCTGGCTGTTGTCCATGGGATTCCTCGACTATTGTGCTGCAAGAAACAGAGAGATGAGATATAGTCATGTGAGAAGAAGAATAAAAGAAACTGATCCATACCAGTGCATTGACATCTTCTGATTTACATATGAGGACACGAATCTCATCGGGGTCTCCATTAAAGATGGCTTGGACAAGGGGTGGCTGTGAAAAACAAGAGATTATTTAAACATGGTTTTTAGGAATAAAAGCATGAAGTATCACTGTTGCTATTGCTGTTACTTTAAGGTGTGGACACATTTAATGTTGTTCAGCGAATTTTCATGGACAAAAGTGACTTCTGTGTGAGTTCTTTGTGAGACACTACAAACAACGGACCTTTCTTTCTCTAATGTTACAGCACCTTTAATGTAACAGATTTAAACAAATCCCAAATGCTAGCAACCCTCCAGAACGCCCTAGGAACCACCTATTAACACCCAGCAACTGCAGGGGAACATACTAAAAACCACTCAGAAAGCCGTTGCAACCATACAACAATGTCCTGGCAACCACCACAGCATTGTGGCGGCAAATTATGTAAAGGCAAGCACCACGTTTCCATCAGAAAGTAAACAGAGCTACAAGAACCTAGATTATCCTAGTTCTTGAATCAGTTTCTCAGCACAAATCGCTAACACAACCAGACAACTAGGCTGCAAAACCACACAGCCTTCACCATTTCCATGAAATCGAGACCCAAAGAGCCCCAAGGAAGCTTTGCACCACACACTGTAGTGTGGTCATTAAAGTCATGTTTCCGCTATGTAATTATCATCTTCTATCCTTGTTTATGGAGCAACTAAAGACTAAACTGATGCCAAATATATTTATAAACTGTATTTTGCCAGCTATTTTCCTAAATTCAAGTGCCAAGCTTGATATATTCATATGGCAGCACATTGAAAATCATGATAATCTGACACATGCGTGGGATTAGAGAATCATAACACCGAGGTGGTTTGAGCCAAACTTGGCTGCATCTAAACTTCCAGTGTCTTTCTCTGCAATAACCCCCACATCTCACTTCCTGTTGCTCTTTTTCACCTTCTCAGAAGCGACACAGAGGAAGCGTGGAAAGCATTTTCACTTCCGCTATACAGCAGAACACATGCAGTCAGGGCAACATGCAAATGAACACACTTCAGGGCTCAACACGAAGGATGCCGATTGTAAAGACAGGGATGGGCTTTTAACATCTTACCGGTATATCAGCCCATATGAATTTAGATCTGTAATGGAATTACATTTTGGGATTTTTTTTTTAAAGAAAAGTTCATGTTTAATGAAAAAATATGAATACATTTTTCTGACACTTCAAAATATGTTTCTAAGAATTGCTTCTTTCACTACGACTTTCTCTTTAATATGCACAAATACAAAAACTCTCTGTGTAGAGACCACAGGAGATGTGTTGTTGAGATCTGCTCTATTTTCAGCTGCAGAAACAGGCCATCACACACCCACTCACTTCAAACTCATTTCATCATCCGTAAAAAACCATCTCTGCTGTGCCAACTCGCCACAAGCCATCAGTCATTTTTAAATTTGGCTGCACATTTACTGCATGCCAACCATTTGTTTCAATTCACTTGTTTCCTTTTATTCATCTCAAGACATTTGAGAAGAAACATTTAAGCCCAAGGTGAAACATCTGCTGAGCTATGAAAGAGAACATTCTAGGCAATTATAATTTCTTAAGGGATATTACATTTTTTCCAATAGTTAGTTCACCAGTGAACCCCCAGGTTTCCTTCTCTTGAATAAATAAATAAATTTGAGAAAACCAAATGTTTAAATTTGCAAGGCAAAAAAATAAATAAATCACATGCACAAGATCAGTAATGTAAACTTTATAACAGAAGTGGCCTTAAAAACTCTCATACTGGCACCGGGCCACCCTTATTGAGCTCTTTTATGAGAGCATTGATTGAATCTATGAGGATACAATGTTGAATTCTCTTAACTATGAGATGTTGCCTCTTTCTAGATCGCATGCACAACCACACAGCTCTTCTCTCGCTGGAAAGAGAACACAACAGCTGGTGACAACAGTGCTGTCTGTGTTATGGCACCGCAAAGCTTGGGAACGAGATTGCTGAGCGCTGGCACAAGCAGGGATCTGGATGCAGCTCATCACAAATGAGGACATTCCCCGACCTCCCAGCGCCGCTCCATGCCAAAGTCAAACTCTCAAACACTAAAGTCATTGTTGACATTCATTAGGCTACACGACCTCCTCCCCCCAACTCCCCGTCCCCTATGGCCAATAGAAGTGAGCTGGACTTCTTCTTAGCCAATGAGGGCTGGGGTTTCTTCACTTTTGACAACTGGAGCACTGCAGGCTCTTCAAAACAAAGCAGACTGACTCCTTAAGAGTCATGGGTCTAAAATGAGGAACTGCTGATGTCGCACAATAAATTAACTGCAAAACTGAAATCTAGTTCCTTGAGACAGCATTTTAATCCTGATGTTTAAAGTCAGCATGAAATGCAAATTTGTACATGCATGCATTGTCCAGGTTTTATTTTTTTTATGTTTTTTGACCTTGTAAAATGCATTCAAAATATCATAACGTGATCTTCCGTTGAAACACCATACTTCTCTCTGCTGACGTACGATGGACTTCTCCAAACATTTAGTCCAACTAAATGTTTAGTCCAACTTACAACTGACTACAAATTCACATTCAGATCTGCCTCCATCCAAACAACAACCGATGGATAGAACCAAAACGTTTTTTTTTTCTTTTTGAAAATCTGTTTCACTCAGATGTCCATAACAATATTGAAGAAAAGATCTGATGCTATTTCATACATCACAACTTTAGATAGACCATATATTCTGCAAATCGTCAGATTCAGGGGTTATGTTGAGTTTGGTGAAGATGTATGTCTTCAACAACACAGTAAGCTCTAAAACACTCTTCTAGACAAAATCTAAACTGAAAGAATCTAAACTTTGTTTTCTGAAGGGTAAAAATATAAAAAGTGTAAAAAACAAAAATTGTCACAAAGTGCATAACAGAAGTATCTAAAGACTTATGGACTTATGTGTAAGGCGTAAACACACTATCCTCTATTTCCTCCCTCTCGGGTGCTCTGAACTTGTGTCATGTAACCCTCCGAGACTACAAAAAAGCATGAGAGGGGAATGCTGAGGTTCAACAACTTCCTGTTCCTTTCCTCTTTGGGGCAAAGTATGGAAATCAAACTGTACACAAGACCAGAATGACGGTAAACATTACTGACGCTCAGAACACTTAGTGTCACATATTAACTTCTACTAAATAACTGTCCTGGGTTAATGCAAGTGACACTTTCTGGGGCAGGTGTTAAATACCACACCAAAAATAATTTCAACTTGTGTCTTAGTCTGTAAAACAAACAAAACATGAGTTTACAAGAATGCACTTTTAATGGAAGTCTAAGGGGCTTGTGAGAGACCCCACTGATAAATATAAAAAGGCAGCTGTATAATTTTATGTATAAAAATACATTTACACTGTGAATTTAAAATATACAATTTAATATTAAAACAGCTAAATAAATGATTTCCTTTCCAAAATTAAATAATTGCCCTTTATATCATCATTATACTAAAACAAATTGTTAACATACTTTCTGTTAAATATTTACTTTTTATTAAGTTGACAGCATACCTGAGATTATGAGAATTATGAGAAAAACTAAATATATAAAATTACTGCAATTAATGACATTGTTGAACAGTCTTTAGAAATTTTACTCAATTCAGTAAATGTAAAAAAAAAAAGACTAAATGAAATTAAACATGCTTGATTAATATCTCAAGTGCATTTGTATACACACATTTTGTATGAACAAATTAATTTATGTGATCTATCAAAGATACGAGCTGCAGACTTCTGCTTTTAAGCCCTCTGGAATCTCTTGCCATTTTTGCAAATGCATTACTGTGCACACAATTTTTGTTTGCTATTACAAATTTAGGGATGAGTTGGCATTTTCTGTGGCAATCAACAACATGAAGTTGTCGATAGCTGAACTTGTTTGAATACGAAACATTGCTTCAACCATGTAGTGTGCAAAGATTTAGTAGACTTTTTACTCTCTCTAGTCTCACAGCTCAAAAATCTTTTCGACCCTGACATGAAGTCCATGGGGCCCCTGATAGACATCGAGTTACTTGTTGCAAAGACAACTTCCTAGAACATATGCAATAGCGTCTAGATATGAGCATCACATGACTGTTAGGGAAATATAGGTCTACTCTACTGAAAAAATGCTCTCACTTTGTGCCCACCAAATGAGACATGAAAAACGAATAATTAGAGGAGTTAACTAGTATCAAAAGATGTAACATGTCATTTCAAATTTGTGAAGTATAGTAGTAACATTCAATATATCACCAATGAAAATCAGATTACAGTGAATTCAGTCTTTTACTAACTAGAAATACTACATTGCAAACACAAAAGCTTAGTTTGAAACTAAATTATTGCTATTGTCACAACAAAAGTTTCAAATAAGTGAACAACAGTGATGTCAACAGTGAAAAGGAACTTGACTATCTAAGCTTTAACTGGGTGGAGCTCAATCATGTGTTGGTGTGCAACTTATACTAGTTAGTTAAAACAGAAATCTGACTAGGTGTGCTGATAATGATATCATGAATTTGGGATGTTTTCTTCTCAAAACTTGTAATGGTGTGCAGATTAGATTTAGGAGCCGTATCAACATCATCAGCATCATGACACACTACAGCAGACAGCAGGAAGCTTGTTCTCTCTAGATGAAAGCAGATAATGTTTCTTACACAAATTATGCAATAAATGAGAGCAACACTCACTTTGTTACTTCACCACTATTTTATCTCACTTAAACTCAAATATGAAAGATATTCTTACACTGGTGTTGGTAAAACACAAATTATTAATCATACACTAAAAATAATATTTAACTTGTAAAGTGGAGCACTTACTTATAAGTAATTTCCAAAGTAGTATCAGATTCACGACTTGCACAAATTGCTCAAGTATCTGTTAATTGACTTTAAGGAAGACGAGAAACTTCCAACATGAACTATGGTATCGTTTGAGCAAAATGCGTGCCAGCAGAAACAGACATGAGCACATTAAACACACTCATATGTGCTGTCATGCATTTTTAATATGCAATGCATTTGCTGCACATACATCATGCAGTTTCAGCTGCAAGCATATATGGAGAATCACATTATGTATTTTGTGCATTCATTGGAAAAAAGAAAACAATGTGCAAATCCCTCAGTTTGATCCAAGCAGCATGCCAATCCTCCAAATAAACGGATCATTTTGCAATCAAAAATATATTGTGCCTTCAAAAAACCTTGTGCAATTACCTGGTCGACTAGTTTAATAACAGCCATATCATGTGAAACTGCACATCCAAACTCCTGAAAAAACCTGGAGGTGAAGATTCATAAAATCCAGAAGTGGCTGTGCGCTTTTTTCACGGAAGGGTGATGCTTCACAACGATGTGGCATCAAAAGCTTGCTTCCTGCTTTGCTGTGGATCGCACCCTCCAGGGGCCCGGGGTGATGTAACGGCCGTGGCCAGCTCTGCAGGCGCTATCTTCGGTCAGCAGGAGCAGCTTTAGCCGCTGCCTCACCACCAGCGCTCCGGCGCTCCGGGAAAGAGGAAAAGGGGAGGGAGGAAAGGATGCGAAGGCTGCTGTAAACAATCCGCATTTACAGGCAATGGCATCCACAGTGATATCGATTTCAGATATTATATCCCTCTAGCTTATGTTCTGCGTAATGCATTAATTCCTTATGAGAAAATACAGGAAGTCAGAATTTTTTGTATGCTTCCCCCCTAGCTAATTTCGTGATCCTACTATGGCGAAGGCTATAGTTTATGAATATTAATACGGCACCCAACTTTTAACAGATTGGCTAAAAGGCAGACGCTGTCAGAGTGGGCGCTGTTGGGATGACCAATGAACGATTCCCACTGCGGACTACTGAATTAATTACTGTTTCATGAATATAAATTAGGATGTGTGACTGGATGCTTCGAGGAGATTAGGATGGAACGTCATCGCAACCTAATTAATATTCATAAACTATAGCGTCACCATAGTAGAATTTCTAGTTTCGTTTCCTCCTCTGTATCTGATGCACAGAATCGTCAGTTCTTCCGAAAAGCCATCATCATCGCCTACCTCACTGATGCCCTCGCTAGTCTGACGCACGAATGAATCATTCTAATGAATCAATCTGTTCTGTTTAATGATTCGGTCACAACGTATACGTGAATCATTTTGTGAACAGAACTGTTCGAACAAACCGATTCGCTAAAATGAACCAGTTCTTAACGCTAGTCCTCTCTGGTTACTCGCAGAATACCGATATGTCGTCTTTTGGAGTACATATACATTTACAATAAAATTCAAATAATGCATTCATTATTATAATGTCGACAGTTATTCTGTTTGTAGCTTGTTCAAAAGTAAAGAGAGAATATATAATTTATACTGAATATTGCCCAGCAATGAGCTAACATCATGCTTGATGAATTCTATAATTAATGACAAATGCAGTTAAGTAAGATTCGATTCATTTTAAATTCAATTTACTGTCAATGATAAAAAACGGATAAAAACAAGAGTAAAGTTCAGGAATTGCAGAGTTTTCAACTGTCTTTATTTTTATTTTTTTATTTGTTCAAATTTCTTGCTGAATCCTATGGTTTACACATAGGTTGAAGATTGCCACTATAATGCGATTAGCTTTTACAGCTTTCAATTTTGTTTATTTGCTGCTATTCTACATTTGTATTTGTCAGCTGTACATTCTTAAAGAAATGGAAAACAGGAACTTGCCCACAATGTACCTGGAAGCAAATGTCGGTGTTTGTTTGTCCTTTGCTGGATGACATCACCTAACAGACTGTCTGTGTGTGTGTGTGTGTGTGTGTGTGTCTGATTGATACAGAGGCTATATTTAAACAGGCATGAGAGAGTTTGGGCTGACGGGTCAAAAGGAGACCACGGGAAGTAGCTGTTGCATGTGTACCGTTTACACAGGAGGATATACTATAAAGAAAGTACACATTTTAATATTTAATGAAAACTGAGAGGTTCAAGTCACTTCAAACACATTCCAGGACTTAGTATAAAGGCTTTAGCTCTTTATCCAAATAATTATTTTATTCAAACTTTACAGCCAAGGACCACTGACAAAGGAAATGGTAAAGAGAACATTTTCAGTCAAGATCAGCCCAAGCATACAGTGCAGTCCACAATAAAGCACCCCACTGTTCACAATTTCATGGAAAACAGCAGATGTTATCAGAAAGGGTGGATGTAAAAATGAGGTTTAAAATTCTCTAAAGTACGGCCTCACATTGCTTCAGACTGAGAAACTCCAGGACCCTCATGTTTGTGCAAAACCACAAATGACAATCTTTCCTTTACATCTGCTGTGTTGTCGGATCAGAATGTGGGAAATAAGCATACAAAATCCCATACAATGAATGCATTTAACCCAAGATCCATCCTTCCACAAGGAAATAAAATACAGAGAGAGACAAAGCTTTAACAGTACATTTAGGTTTAACATGCCTAAGCATTTAACTACAGGTAAAAGCTAGAAATATTCACTGATCAAAGGTCTTAGTTCACACTGCAGCCCAATCTGATTTGATTTTCAAATTCAAATGTTAGGACTGACTTTCCACAATCAACTTGGCAAATTATGAAACTTGATCAGTTTGTTCCGACAACATCTGAGAGTAAATTACTACCGAACGTGTAGATTGTAGCGTCTGGACCAATCAAACACACAATTTTTAATTTGATTTAACAAATCAGTTATTCATTAGATTAACAAATCGTCACAGTCCCCTCACCCAATAAACTGGATGCCAGGATGTCTGCAACGACACCAGGCCCCCCCTGGTTACCATGGCAACCCTGACACCAGATACATTTACGACCTAATGAAATGTAAGTAGGGAAAATCACTGCCTTTTTCATAAGGAAGAGACACAGTCTGCAGGCTCTGTGTAGAGTTGTACAGTAAGAAAGTTATTTCCCTTAACCAGGAAATGAACGTTCTTAGAATTGACAGACAGTTGACCCTGAGAGGTCAAGTAAATATCTACAGCGGATCTAAATATTTATAATTAATTATAACTAGTTATGATTAATTATTCATATTTCCCCATGAGCTGATTCGCTACAAGATAGAATAAAATCAAGACTTCTTTTGGTTGTGCTAAACAAAAATGACAAAGGAGATCATTGACCTTTAATACACAAAACGTTTATTCAGCCAAACTAAGCAACATTATAATAAGAACAGATGTGTGACTGAGCAAGAGAGCGAGCTTGACAGACCAGAACACAAGTCTCAAGTTAAAGATTTACTGAAGATAAATCACATTCCTCAGAAACTCTGCTACGATCTTTATGGTCACTGTGGATGGTGCCACTCCATAAAAACAGAAAAGTCTAATCCAAAGACCTAAAAGCGTCACATTTGACATTCTGTTTTTGGACATTTTTCTGTTCTTTAATAAGAAATGAATTTTAGACCACAGAATTTGTGGCACTTCTTGTAATCTACCAGAGAACATAAAAAAGACCTATAAATCATGAATTAGACACAGATACAGGAGAAGAGAGAGTGCACATGTAAGGGAAGTTCTATTCACAGGAAGTAATCCAGCTCAAAGCGAACGTATGAGTTCTTCTCATCATTGAAGATAAGAGGATAATGTGCGATCAGTGCATCCTGGGAGCCGATGTAGATGGAGTTGTAGATCTTCCAGTACACATCACGCACTTTGCGTGCAGGATGGAACAAACCCTATTGAGGTAGAATAAACAGTTTGCCATTAGATAAGTCTTTACAAAGTCAATGAGAAAAATCACAAAAAAGTGTGCTGATTCCATGTCTGAAGTGAAATGTACCTGCAAGCAATACTGCAGCATGCGACAGGGCCCAATTGCCACCCGCAGACCCTCGAGGGCCCCCATGACAGCTTGGATGACATGAGGAGACGTTTCAAACACATTTGGCCAAACATAGTTGAGCAAATGATTGAGAGAATCTTCACAGCCAAAGCCATAAACTCCCAGAGACATATGCTGCACCACTGCACTGGCTGTCTGCCTGTGTACAAGATCCCTGCGATGGAAATACCGAAAGTTATAGAGGCTTACTGAAAACAATCTGTATGTTTTAAGTGCAACTCTCTTGTGAAAAGGAGTAATTCTTTTCCCAGCTTACCTGTCCATCAGAGCATCCTCCAACAACGGTGTGACGGCATAGATATAATCTTTGCCCATTTCACCAATGTACTCAAACAGGAAGGACAGAGACTTTAGGACACCGTTCTGAACATTAAGCTCAGGAACACGGTACTCGTTCATCAACGCAGGAAGCACAGTGAAAGGCGAACAAGTCTCAGCCACGATAGCGATGGCTACCGTTGTGCACACACGGTTCTGACGCTCCTGCACCTTCAGATTGTTGAGCAGCGTGGCCAGCACATCGTGAGGACTAGAGAATGAAGAACAGAATGTAAAAATCAACATGTTCAAACCTCTAATGACAGATTCTGCATTACTGAGATGGATTTTGTGTTTTACCCAATGGCCTTGGCAATGTAGCCGAAAGTATTGACAGTAGCTCTGCGGATGGCCTTCTTGTGGGCTTTCAACAACTCCAACAATTCAAAACAGATGCGCATCCATTCCCTGGCAGACACATACTCTGCACCCCTGCAAAGGACACGATGATGTGTTTAGGAGGCATTATCAAAATATTTCAAATGTTAAGAGCTCACATTCTGCAGGGAACTGTAGGACTGACCTGTCAGCGATTCTGCCCACTAGATCAATGCAGTTCTCTTGCACCTTCTCATGTCTGTTCTTCAAGATGGGAGTCAAACGTGGAAGCAAGTCTTTGATTGGTGGTGTCATCTTGTGCATACCTGCCAATGGGACATTTACACACTTATTCATACTCAAAAGAAAGCAAAGCAGGAGAAATCACTAAAATTTATGCAATGAACTGAAATTATTTGTTCACCGAATCCAAAACAATAACAGAAAAAAATTTTTTAGCTGAAAACTAAAAGCAAAATAAAGTTTCTGTAATTAAGTTCGGGTCATTTTTGGTCATGGGGAAACGAGTCGGAGACAGGATCACCTGCTGCAGCGTATCCACGTTTTGTATTAGAAATAGACTTAAACAGTCAAAAAATGTCAATCAGAAAAACACCAAGCATCACTTTTTCAGTAAAAGACTTCGCTCCTCAAAATTATTTTTTGCTGTTCTGGCAGAGCATTTTTGGTTATAGAAATTAATGCATCACTACAAACAAACGTAGGGAAAAAATGTGCGCCAAAGTTTAATACTTAGGGTTAAGGGCTTAGATGCTGGCAAACACCAGTAATGAAGCACTTTGACCAACACTCACCAATAACATTGACAATAGCTTTAAGGGCTCCAAGAATGCTACCCAGCACTTCTGGGTATTCTTCTCCCAGATACTCATACAACACCACACCCAAATGGCCCATGAGCTTTTCCTACATGGAAATGTCAGAGCAAGATATTAGTATACAGTATTGTTTAACCAATCCATAAACGTCCAGTCCAGAAATGTGCATATGGCACCCCTCACCTCTTGGCATGTCTTCATGACCACCGCTGTACGAGAAATCAGGTCAGCAGCCTGTTGACGGACTTTGGCGGATTTGTTGTTCAGACGCCACAGCACTGTCCCGCAGATCTGAGGCAAGTACGGTTTAACTCTCTTACCCAGTGCATTTACCACCGTACCGAAGCCATTTAGCATCACAGAGTCCTGAAGATACAGGCGAGATTAAGATGCAAGATGATGACAAAGCAGGATTTCTTAGATGCAGCGAAGTCTGTAACTCACCTCAGTAGTCTGTTCCTGGAAGGCGTACAGGATACCGTCAATAAGCTGCTCCTCCAGTTTGTGATCAATGTCAGCTGCACCAAGGTTGCCCATGATTTTCTCAATGGTCTCCATGACCATTTTTCTGTACTGTTCAGCTTCGTCCTTCAAGTCATCCACGATACGGGAAATAATCTCAGCTGCCCCCACCTTATTAGCCAGCTCCACTGTAGTGTCCACTAACTGTTAAGCAAGTAAAAAGACAATTGAGGTTAAATGTGTGTTGTTAATGGTTAACGTTATTTCTAATCACGTGACGATCTCACATACCTGTCTGTAGTTGCGTCTATCCAATGCCATTCGGTGCTGCCAGAAATGTTTAAAGAAGGGGGGCAAAATCTCTGTTTTAATGTAATTGGCTTCCACACCATCTGTGCCACAGCACTGCTTCACCACCTGAAATGTGCAAGAAAAAAAGTTTAGCCTAAAATGTTTTAGAAAGATTACATTTTTAATGCTTCTGAATAGTTTTTTCCTAACCCACCTTGAGGACAATCTTCTTCATCTCCTCGTCAGGAGACTGGAACTCTCGAATAAGGATAAGCATCACTTCTCTGGTGTAATAGTTGGCATATTCAGCATCCATAAGCGGAATCAAGTATCCAATGGCTTTCAAAAAGGCAGCAAGACCCTGAGACGACACAAAAAAAAAATTAGTTACTAAGAATCTGTCAATCTTTGGGTTGCAGCCCAAAAAGTAAGTTTGAAAGCAAATAGTACAAATAAAATGTCAATTTTTAATTGACCAAACACATGCTCACCTTGCCTCTGTGTTGCCTGATACCTTTCCAAAGAGGTTTCAGCACAGAATCAAAAGACTCAATACCGTATGGTGTAGCAGCTTCAGCCAGGGCAGCGATAGCCAGAGCACTGATGGTTCGCACTTTCTGCTGCTCATCCACGAGACCTGAGGGAAAAAAAACAACAGCTTGAGACTGGCCCATATAGCAATGTAAAAGACCTTTGGTACACCCACATACAGAAAGATCAAGACCAAAATGCCATACTAACCATGCTCTATAATCTCCACCAAGCTGCGTAGATGGGGCAGGATAGCACAGCCCATGAGAATAGCGATCTGCTGTACGATCTTGATACCCGTGTGACGAGCCTGCCAGGATTTCTTGCTCTTGCAAACAGCCTTGAGGAAAGGCAGTAGAGATGGAATGCCCAGGGCAGACGCCACAACGGCGAAAGCACGAGCTGTCGTGTTTCTCACATACTCGTCCATGTTATCAATGTCAGGCCTCATGGTGGAGATCATAGTGGCCAGACCAGCAGCCTGTGAATGAATAAATGCAGATTCCATTAAGGCTTTTAAAATTTCTAAATTAATTAGACAACGGTTGGGATGCTGTTATCGACCAAAGATGATATTTACTATTTAGTCAACCATCTTACCTTTGCCAAGTTGGAGATGATCTCTCTACCCTCTACTCTAGCATAGTAATCTTCATCAATCAGCAAGGGCTCAATCACCACAAGAATCTGCAAGAACAAACAGGAATGTTAGAAAAGACACATGAAAGGTAATACATTTCTCCACCCAAGTATTAAAATAAATGCTTACATGTAACGCAGACTTACCTTGTGGACGTATGGTCGAACCAAGTCATCAAGTTTGTACAGGATACGATCAATGACTTTCACCAAGAGATGACGTTCCTGGTCCTCCAGTGTAGGAGACATCAACAGTGGCAGGATCTGGTTAAAGAGGGGTCCTGCACCAAACTCTCTGGCTTTATCTGTAATTTGACGAAGAGCAGCCTGAAAGGAGAGAGCTAGTTAGAGATAATCTTTTTAAGATTATGTGTTACAGTCCATCAAGTTTGAGAGAGGATACTAACCTTTCTCATGGGAGGCGTTCCATTCTTGATCTTTAGGAGCAGCTTCATGATCTTGCGCTCCTTCTGTTCTTCTGGACTGAGGGTGGACTCATCAACTTCAATCTGCAAACAGAGATTGGATAATCGGTCAAAAATATATATTTTTATGATTTATATAATAATAATAAAAAAGCACATCCTTATTAGCACATTTTTAAAATAATACTACTAATGCTGTTATTACTAATAATATTTAGTAGTGTTTGTAAAGCATCACTATTATCTCACGTACTTTCTTAATTCCATACAAATTTCCTGCACCATTTGTCGCAAGTCCATGAATGCAGCATCAAATCATGAGGCTTATTGAGAACAACACTGCTATGACTTTGATAAGTGATTGTGCGTACGATCTTTGCCAAGCAGGCAAAAAAATTGGGTGTACAATCCCATAGACTTAACATTGGACAAAACTTTGTGACATATCTCTGCATCAGATTGTCGCAGAGACTGATGGGGATGGGCTCAATTTCACTAATAAGCAGCCAATAAAAGGTGATATTTCAACTTCCTAG